GAGGCGAACTACTTTTTTCCGACGAAGTGTCCACTTTCGAAAAAGTTACGTGATAAACATCTTCAGGCAGAAAATCTCCAAGTTTCTACCTTACCCATCTGGCGAAGGGTTTTTTTAAACGTCGGACTACGTCTTTCTGATGTTTCTTTCATATTGAAGTAGTTCATTTATCGTTTACCGTTGGATATTTTTCAAATCTTTGCAGAATAGCTGATGGTTATGTTAAATTTGCATAACCTCGTTGACATACAATGTTGTAGCTTTTCTGTTACGAGTCATTTAATCTTGCACCACTACTGAAATGGGCCTCAAACATGTGATTAGGTGGTATAGGTAGATTTCCTAGCAAACGGTTGAGATAGGGAACTGGGTTTCCTCAATAACTAGCATGCGCACGCTACAAGTGGCCATCTATATGCAGTTAACTCACCACAGCAGCCCTTTTCACGTGGAGGGGAGGCAAGTCTGATGAAAGCGCAGTCTTTACTGGTGGAACGGCGTGCGCAAAAACTGGCAGCCTTGTGAACATAGGGGCGGGGCCAAACTTGATAATCTGAATGAATCTACTTTTCCGCCGACCCAATTGACCACGTCATGCAGATTAGAAAGGACTTTAATTGGCTTAAATTAATACCTTGATTAACCTACAGTTTGAGGAAAACTGAGGTTCCCTTCGCTGCAGATGGAGAATTGTGGTTTAACTTGACACAGGTAAAACCTATCTAAAAAAATATAATTGGAACTATTTATTCTCAATATTTGTTGGAAGAAATATTCATTAAACATTCGCAGGTAGAACGGATTCTTTGTTGTGCAATTCCAAACATAGAAATACAATGGTTACGTTACCAATGAATCACGTGTAGTGCAACCTCAATGATAGAAATATCAGCGGTGGTGGTATCTATGGACCTTAAGTCCCATAGGTACCTAAATGTACATATGGTAACCAGGTACATAAAGGTACATAGGTAACAAGGCTGCTACACACTATAGAACACCCGGTCGCTTATCAACCGGCGATCTGGTTGACGATCGTCCAAATTGCACAATATCGCCGTGTGTGTGGGAACCTTTCAATCAGATTGACGGTGATTTGTAGGTTGCCAGGCGACATTTTGGTTTCCAGTGTTGCACTTGTGTAGGTTCCCGATCAATCAATTTATCTCCAGGCAATGCAATTTCTATAAAGGCTAGTACTCACTAGGACACCCGGTCGCTTATCAACCGGCGACCTGGTTGACGAGCGACTAAGTTGATGATTGAACGTTTTATTGCTGGGTGGTACACACTAGGATACCTAGCACTTTCAACCAAGCTGGAAATCGATCAAAATTTGGTGGGATAGACAATTTGTTTTGTTCTGGTTCACGCTTAAGCCTATCAAAGTGTGAACCTAAATGACAACACCATGCCCCCGACGAAGAGGAAATAGCTGCCGAAGTTTTGATTATATTTAAAACTTATGAAGTAGAGAAGAAGAAAGAAATTGTTTAGAAGATTTTGGGTTAAAGGGTGGCTTTAACGTAGAAATAGTTACAGCCACAACGGCCCTCCTACGAGCTTTTCGACTTAAAAATTCTCAGGATTTTAAGAACTATTTACATATTTCAGATGACAGTTTCCGTCATACTAAGCAACCAGTGACACCCGTGACACCTCACATAGAAAAAAAAGGACGTCAGATTGAGATTTTAGCATGGTTTTGTTTCGTCAGTTCATTTTTCGTTGTACTGCGCATGCGCTAGCCGTCTTTAGTTGATCAACTTGGTCGCTGAAGCGTACACACTCTAGGTTTTTGAGAAATCTGATTGCCCGGCGATAAAATGGTTGATCGGAAACCCCCAGGTTTTCGATACATGTCCGAAAACCAAAAAGTTGCCTGGCAACCTACAAATCGCCCTCAACCAAATTGACAGACACGTACACACACGGCGATATTTGTGCAATTTGGTCGCTCGTCAACCAGATCGCCGGTTGATAAGCGACCGGGTGTCCTAGTGAGTACTAGCCTTAAAAAAAAATTCCTAGAGAGTGTGTAGGGTTCAGCGACTAAGTTGATCAACTAAAGACAGCTTGAACATGCGAAATACAACTAAAAATGAAATGACGAAACAAAACCTTGCTAAAATCTCAATCTGGCGTTCTTTTCCTATGTGAGGTATTAGGGCGTCACTGGTTGCTATTATAAGTATGACCACAGAAAACATACTACTATAACTATAGGTTATAGTAGTATGTTTTCTGTGGTGTGACGGAAACTGTCATCTGACTTCTGTAAATAGTTTTTCCTGAAGATTTTCAGGTCACAAAGCTCTCAGGAGTGCCATGTGGTTGTAACTATTTCTACGTTGAAGCCACCCTTTAACCCAAAACCTTCTAAACAGTTTCTTTCTTCTCTGGTTCCCACAATTAAACATAATTATAACTTCGGCAGCTATTTCTTCATCGTAGGTGGGCATGGTGTTGTCCCTTAGGTACACACTTAGATAGTCTTAAGTGCAACAGAGCTCTTAAGAGGGCATAATTTGACGTAATTTATTTTAAATGTACTAAATTGTAAATTGTTGTATGCAATTTATATAATATAATTACAAAAGCTTTACAATATATAACTCTTTAATGTGTTATGAATTTATTAAGAGATATTTACAGCCGTAAAATATTTTTTAAATAGTGACATTGTTAGGTTCAAAACCAATATATTTTGCGTGTGCAAGTTTTAGTTAATCTAATTGTAGTTGCATTGACAGTATCCAACCCGTGTCAATTTGATTTCGGACTGAGCGCAGCCATATCCATTAGGGCACCTTTTAATACTAAAGGTAGGTATTTTATAGCTAGTTAAACTCATAATCTTATAACAGTTATTAAAAAAACTATTACAAACTTTAATGGACGTTCCACAAAATACTTGTGTTTTTAATGTTCGATTCCCGGCACACATATGGGGTTGAACCGCTTTCCCAACAAGCTTTTGAATAACTCTTTCTTTCTATCTCATGCCAAAGGCGTAGACAATATGAAAAATAGTGTGAATAACGCTTGATTGGTTCGGTTAATATGCGGTTGATTATGTCCCACCTTTTTTGAACATCCTGTATACAGTTTCAGTTTCAAAAACTACGTATGATTAATATACCATATTGATTCCAATTAGTGTTACATTTCTCCAAACCCGGGCAGCGTGAGTAATTTCTGCAAGGGCTTAACCTATATCGATACGTAGTACTTATCCGCTAATGGACTTCATGCATATAAATTGGAGGATAAAGTCTGCAATGGTAACTCACCAGTGCTTAAATGGCAACAGGTCACCTGTTGGTCGGGACTGGCGACCATTTACTGGGATATCGACCATATATTGTCAACAGATCAGCCATTGAGAGAAACTACTCGAATAGTAGGTAGTTGGAAGTAAAATAGTTTAATTAAGTCAGTCATAAATCTGTGGAACCAGTTTTGCGAGCTTCTTAGCTCACTAATTAACATAGGTGAATTAAAAACGTAAGTAATTGAACATATCAAATTGCGTTAATTAATCGCTAATTATTTTTCTATGTACAACCTTTTTACTACGCCGGTGTCGAGGTTATTAGCATACATTCATGGCGTCTTCGATTTATCTTGTAATTAACGTATTATCATAAACAGCTTTGATAGGCAGGTGGAAGTGCCGGACACGTTTTTGCTTGCTTTGTCGGAATATGCGATTCAATTATCGAGTGATCTCGCTGAAAGAATTTTGGATTTGTTATTTAAACATCACAGAACTTCAGCAACGTATCAATGGCAAAGAGTGTTTCGAACGCGAAGTTTAGTTAACCAGTTCCTTAATACGCGAATGACATGGCAGCGGTGGCATGTGGCGTACTGTTATTTAAAAAGTGGGAACAGACTGAAATGTACATTATTATGAAATGCGGAATATACATCTACTTGAATAGTAGGCCTATAATGAATCTGATAACTGCAAAGACAAATACTGTTTATATACCTTAGCAACGTGGGAGTATTGCTTAAGGTGTGTAAATCTCTCTAATTTGACTTGAGTCCGTCAGTTATTTCGAGTTAAATTGACGCGACGTTTTTGATTGGTGACCGTCAGCTCTCAAAACTCTAATAATCGTAAGTCTTTACTTGCGACGGGACAAACCTGGCTAAGACAAGATCTCCGCGAGTCGACTTCTAAATAGATTTGGTGTTTTAAATCAGCTTTACGAGTATTAGCTGATAGTCCGGACGGTTGGCAGCCTGTGTAATTGAAACTTCAGCGAGAGCCGCCCAGGCTTTTAGCTTCTCAATTAGTGAAATGTATGACACCGTTTAATGACAATTGAGTAAACGCAGACCATTTTATGGCAAAGCAGTCCATTTAGTCTAGTGACATATGAGTCATCAGAAGGTGGCTGTTAACCTTATTTTACTAGTGTTTGATTGGTGGCACACAAAGTAAATGGCTTATCTCTCCAATCTCAACTGACATTATTATCACGTCATCCTTTGAATTTTTATGACTGCACGATGTTAAAATTCGGTTTGTATAAAAAGTGGTGTTGGCTTACAGAAGGGCGAAGCGGTGCTGTGGACCCTCAAACCCCGGTGATAAATTACAGTACTCTTGCTTTGTCGTCTCTTTATCTTGTTACAAGAACATCTACAGTATTAGTAGTACAAGTATGATGTTGAGCCTATGGTAGTTAACTGGCTCAGAAAAATGAAAACGGCGATAAATATTACTTACTATTACTATATTACACTTACTACGTTATTAGGACACAACTAATGCGTGTGAAGTGTGCAATAAGGGAGAGTAGTTTTGTTTGTACTGTTCTTTCTTAATCCACCATATAAAGGTTGGATCGTCAAGGCTGGATCCAACTTAAAACTACTACAACAACAAACAACGCCCGCAACATTGGACTTAGGTTCCTGTGGACCCTCGACCCCCGCTGGCTCTATACAATACTGTAGGACTGACGTGTATTGTCATGATACAGGTACAGGATGGAGACGGAGGACGCTGGCAGTGGAAAGGAGGACGAGCCCGAGGTGGAGGCTGGTTCAGAGCAGGAGGACGATGACGGTGCGGGACCCTCAACCTCCGCCGGCTCTTCTTCAAGGTAAACAGTTATACTTGTCTTTGCAATTTGTTGGTGGAATAAACTAACATGCGTTTTGAGAGGCTTATCAGTTGTGTTGGTTCTTTTTGTGCTGGAAGCCTAGTTGAGGAATAGCTCAGATAGAGTGCTTAGATGTTGTGTTTAAGACTTTTTCTTTGACCAATTTAAGGTTTTTTTTGTGTTTAGCAGTATGCTAAAGTCTAGTTTATGTTGACGAGCTGTAAACAAATTTTAGAAGTGTGTCCTCGGCCATTTTTAAGGATGTTGGTAGTTGGCTATGACCTTTCGTAGAGCTCAAACCGAATGTTAATCGTAATGAAATGGCCTCGTGTCCGCCAACATATGTCCTTGTCATATCAGCTGGGTCACCGCAGCCGCAGCCACAGCAATGACGTGTCAAGTGTTGTAAGTGATCTAGAAACGTGGGAAGCAGTTGTGTTGTGTAGACCTACAGCGACGTCGACTGCACTGTACAATGCAATGTGCTGTGATGAGGAAATTGTCTATTAGAACAACGAGGGAAATTGAATTGTGCGTAGTGGAAGATTTGTAATGCATGTAACATTAGTTGTGGGTTTGCCTTAACGCAAACAAGTTGTACGATGATTGAAGAATTATTTGATTAAATTTTTTTTATGTTATTTTTTACTCTGTTTTTATACGGGTCTGATGAATTTCTGATCCATCCTAAATTTACAGAAACAAAAAGTAGATCCATATGTAAAGAAGAGCGTTAAATGTGATAACCCCTCATGTTTGCCTGCTGTGAGTACTTATGGCAGTTTACAACAATTTTTGGAGGTTCTTTGGTGATGGCTAACCCATAGACGTGTGGTTAGACCTAATTTAAGTAAAGCGGAGTAGACACAAACAATCTGGGAAATGAGTGGTTATGGCATACATACCTCAATGTCAACAGTCCAGAGTCAAGTTAAAGGTCACCATGGTTTCAACTCACCTTGTGTCATGATCACAAAATCAAACGAGAATGTAAGTCTACATAAATAATTGCGTAGACGTTGTCAAGTTCTTATCACGCTGTAAGGTGAACGGTGTGTGCGTGTTTCTTTGTAAGTTTGTATTAGTTTCATTAGTTGTTGATGAAACCCACAAGACGATATGAAGAATGTTCCGTCCTCGTTTGATGGTGTGAACGTGACGGGGCAAAAGAGTATTGAAACCAATTAACCAATAAGTTACCTAGTGAAATGTTATGTTGAGGTAAAATTGCTAGGTGGCTGAGTGGTTTTAGTGGCTGCCTAGCAATCAGAAGGTTGCTAGTTCGATCCTGATAATAGGGAAAAGAATTTTGATGTTTCTACTGTTTCCGCTTGTCTTCACTGGACTTGGCCAAAAATAATGACCGTATTAATCTAATTTGATATGTAAACAACCCTTTTTCATAACTCACAACTATTGCAATCGTACTGGTCACAAAAAAAATTAATGATCAAGTATGACAAATTGTGTTCTTGAAGCCCTCCCACAGCGTGCTTCGTAGGTGAGCTAAACCTACCATAAATTTTAGAAGATTAATTTAAAGAAAATTTATATCTGGTCTTTAAAAACTCGTAAAACTGGATAAAACGAACGGTTTGTAATTTACTTGGCCGCCCTCCGGCCTCAAATAGTGTACAATTTTCTAATCGATTGAGCTTAAAGCTTATGCTAATACGAATCAATGTAGTAATTTAATGTACTCTATCTTATGACTCACGATGACTGTTCAGTGTTCCTGCACTGATGGACCGGTTTTCTGTGGAAATCGCAGAGTAAACATCATTATACACAAGCGCCTGTAGCAGTTGTTTGATATATTCCGCCCCTGCCTCGGCCTATGGGCTACTGGGCTAGGACGTGACATAATGTGGTACATATGTGGTATAGTGGAGTAATGCGATAATTTGCTAAACCGCTATCGTATTAGTTAACTGTTGCATTTGGACCGATTGATTTAGTCGAAATCGAGCAATCTTATTCGTAACCAATAAGGAAAATACAACGCATTAATAATATTTGCAAACACAAATCACTTAGGTAGGAAAAAGTAGTTCAAACCATTAAATATTTGAACGAAATTAACCAATCTTTGAAAGTAGATCGTTTTTTAGGGGTGAAGGGGTGAAAATTTCGGAAAACATAAGAAAAGGTTTTGTAGAAAATTTAATTCCTGACCATGAAAATTCTTTCAAATCTTTGCTAGCACTAAGCTTTTTTGAGTTATAGCCGTTAAATAAAAACGTGTTTTGTCGTTTTCCGATGTCCGCCATTTTTTCCGCAGTTATAAAACTCTCAAAGGACGGTGGGATTTGGAGGGAAATGAGTTGGAAGGTCGTAAAACGCGCGGAAAGTGGCCGAAAGTCGATTTGGTATATGGTCAAGTCGAAATAAAGTTGGCTTTGAAGAATAAAACATTTTAGGATTGTATATACTGTGATTGATGTTAAGGAATTTTTTCATGATTTTAAACTGTGTATCCGTTTTCGGTGTGAACTATATGTAAATAGTAGCCAGGCAAAGAAAGCGAAATATTTCTGTGTCATTCCGGTTGTAAATGCCCAGACTAGCGGTCCAGATAATAGATATGCCACCTGTCGACCTTACGTATGGAGATGTCACATGCCTTCCACCAAGATTTACTGGTACATGTTAAATTGCGCCGGTTATAGTCACATCTACATTTGTAAACACTCGGTACTGGTCTAGCCACTATATCATTGCTGACAGCCAACAGATTTACTACACTTAAGATGTTGTGATGAATGTTGTAAATTCGAAAGCTAGCACGTTCGCAACACATGATACTTTTAGTAGAATTTAATGTTTCTTAAAATTAACTGCAGTAGTAAAAAATCGATTTAGAAACTATTAATTCATTGACTTCCATTTCTATGCGAGTAATTCATGTTAGTGTAAAATATGAACCCCCCACTTAGTTCATGACTCTCCTGCTATAGACAGCTCTTTTCTGGAGGAGAAAATTGGGTTTGTTTTTAAAATGGTGTTTGCCGTGTTCCTTTAGCGATCTCATTTAATCGGTTTTACCATGTTTTTGGCCCCCACGTAAGAGCTTGTGTTTTTAAACGCGGTTAATGGTGAAGTGAGTGGGTGGTTAACATGGACTTCGCAAACTTCTTCAGACGTAGTCTTCAGCATCTTCAGGCTTGGGCTTCAGCACCATCTACATCTTCAGGCTTGGGTTCTAGCATATCCAGACTTCGTTATCATCACCGTCAACATCTTTGGGCTTGGTCATCAGCACCGTCAGCATCTTCAGGCGTGGTCTTCATCATCAACATCTTTCAGGCTTGGTCTTCATCACTATCAACATTTTAGGCTTAGCTTTAAGCTTCTTCAGCAGCTTCAGGCTTAGTATTCAGCTCAGCGGCTGGTCCAGAGGCTATAGCGGGAAGTTACTGTCATCAAGATCCGAAACCTAATCATGCCAATCTGAAAAAAAAAACAATCTCTTAATGTCGTAATTTCTACCTCTCTCATAAAACAAGGACTGGCCAAAGCATTTGAGACTTGAATAGGGATGTAAGGATGGAGAGGGCCAAGGTCTTTATTGTTTAACAGCATCGATGTGCTCACCACCAACTAAAACACCACAATCACGTAATTTATTGGAAGACCACATTCGTAAAAGCAATACGATACTATATGTTTACAAACGTGTGGCTAATTAGTTTTTATCATGCACCGGATTGACAGGTCGACCTTACTGCAACTTCCCTTCTTTATCTAAATTGAGTTACGTTCAATCAAAAACGAACACCTGCAGGCTTGGCGGTCTTTAGTCGAGTTACTTCTTATTTCACGACCGACTTCACACTCAGGCGTTGTCAAACAGGAGATCATATAGGTAGATTACAGCAAGACACGCGCTAACCTGTCAGCCTCTAGACTCTAGGTAAAGAGGCGGTTAATTTACACGCAAGCAGTGAGTGGTTTGATTAACGATATTCTGATTTGTTCAACAAGAATACGGAGGAGTCGTAGTGGTCCGATAAGAATCAGATGTTAATAGGAAATGTGTTGATAGTTTAGCAATTTAATTACCATACGTCATATGGAGGAAGGAGTTGTCAAATGAGACAGGTCTAGTTAGATAAGTAAATTTTTACTTGATATGTGGTCATACATCTGTAGGTTGGCTGTGAACCACCTAGTCGTGAAATTCAATGCTAAAAGCCTTTGGTGGTTGGTAGAATTTGAATTCAGGACAGTCCTCGCCTTAATACTAATCTAGCGCAGTTTAGGTTTACAAAATGCAAACCCATCCTTCATTTAAATTCATCTCTCAATACTTCAACCAATTCCTAGTTATAATCTGGATCGTAGTGGATCCTGAAGAGTACTATATAAGTTGAAAGTTCCACAACACCTAACACGGCAGCTACATACACGAGTGCCGTCTAACAAGCGTGTAAACGTCTACTACGGTCGTGCCTCCGTAGTCCAGACGTACAACGTAAGTGAAAAAGTGACAGGTACAGAATGTCGCAAAAACGGAAAGTTTTGAAATTCGTATTGGTAGCCATGAGCAGATAGCACTACTGTGGAACATTGTGGTTGAGCAAATAAAAACTGCGTCAGTTAAGTAAAAACTTATCAGGTTTGTAACTTGATGGCCAAAAGAAGCTGTACACCTTATTTAAAATTGAAACCGAGGACGTTGTTGTGCCTTGCTGAAAAATTTTTTATTAAATTGAAACCTTTGTGGTTTCAACTATGATGATGTGTGAGTTACATTTCCTCCCAAACTAGTTGGTTTGATTGGTTGTTCTCAAATGCTCAGTCGCGAAAGTCTTCTAACTGCGTTCAAGGAAATTTCCTCAAAATAATGGATAGACATACTTTTTGCGGTAATTCGTCGGCACTCATCTACAATGGTGGCTGTTTCTTTGATTTGACCTAGTGGTCTAGTTGTAAAAGCCAGCCTCTGATGAGTTGAGTACTTACTCCTGTGGCCATTGAAAACCAAAGCGGGCCACAGC